GCGCATTTTAAAATAAAAATTTGTTACTTCTATAAATCAAATGTAGAGACACAAACTTTTTTTTATTATTAAGGAAGTATAATGGTAAAAAAGGCAGTTTTTTGCCTACCAAAATAAGCGTGAAAACGTTATCATTTTTTGCTTACTAATTTTGACTAGCTAAATACAGTGGTAAAATCCAGTATCAATTAGATGACTGACTTCCGATATGTAAAATGGCGGATTTTATATAGCGCATTTTAAAATAAAAATTTGTTACTTCTATAAATCAAATGTAGAGACACAAACTTTTTTTTATTATTAAGGAAGTATAATGGTAAAAAAGGCAGTTTTTTGCCTACCAAAATAAGCGTGAAAACGTTATCATTTTTTGCTTACTAATTTTGACTAGCTAAATACAGTGGTAAAATCCAGTATCAATTAGATGACTGACTTCCGATATGTAAAATGGCGGATTTTATATAGCGCATTTTAAAATAAAAATTTGTTACTTCTATAAATCAAATGTAGAGACACAAACTTTTTTTTATTATTAAGGAAGTATAATGGTAAAAAAGGCAGTTTTTTGCCTACCAAAATAAGCGTGAAAACGTTATCATTTTTTGCTTACTAATTTTGACTAGCTAAATATAGTGGTAAAATCCAGAACTAATTACTAATTACCTTTTTTTTTCATTTTTTCACATGTTTCTTGAAAATATCCTGCACTAGTTGTTTCTAGTATGTGTATTTGCAGATAGCAATTTCCAACCACAATATTGACAAGTTAGGCACTACTTGTATCCCTGACAAAAATAAGAAGTTTCATAAGCGTTTGTTTAGCGTTTACGTAAATGTTGGCGGGAGTTTATTAAGAGTATAGAAATTGTCAATAGAGCGGAAATTGCAACACTGTAGCGTTTAAAAGGCGCTTGCGTACTGGAAGAGCGTTTGCTGAACGGGGAAAAAACGCTTGTCTTACAGCGTTGGGAAAAATATTTTTCAGACGATTTAAAAGTCTGACAGCAAACTCGGTGCACGAAGGTGTATCAGTTTACTGAAAAACGTATTTTGAAAAACGTTGCTTCAGCATTGCAGGACTTTCATAAAATGTTATATACAGCATTTAATAAGTTATGAAAGCGTTCTAAAAGCTTTCAAAATCCAACAGCGTCTCTCGAGCTTACAAGATGTCAACGTTCATATAAAATTTTAAAGCGTATAAACTCTCAAGAAATACTCATCGAACGGTTTATAAAGATTTTTATTTTCATCTGGGATATAGAGGATTATCTGGAGCAATATCATAAACAATTAATACGATAAACAGTTACATGGGCGCGCTGACGAAAGATTATATATATGTGTGTGTGTGTGTGTGTGTACAGGGTGTAGAAAAATTAGACTGACAAACTTTGAGGGGAAATGGTGGATATAAAAACAAACATATTTTGTTAATAATGTTTTTCTCTACGACTCTTCGTTTTAATACTACAAGGTACAAAATAAGAATTTTATGATCTTAATAAAAAACAAACATATAAGTGGAAAAATTAAATTTATTTCAATTACACATATATATTTTAATCTTCAAAAAACAATAAACAAAAACGCGGAACAAAAATGCGCAACTGATTATAAAAGCTCAATTTATAATAAATGTTCAAAAATTCTTCCATTTGCTTCAACACAAAGATAATATTGTCAAAATTCGGATTAACAATTCTATTTCTGTTTCAATGTCTCATCGATAAGAGTTGTGAAAGTAAATACAAAATACCTTTGTGAAGCACGCTTCATTAATAAACAGTATTGAGGGGAAACAGAGAACTTCAACATAAAAATTTTTTTGTTAATATTTCTCTCTACGATATTTCGTTTTGATCTTGGTCTACGTAGTATATATTCAAGCGCTCAATGGAGCAGAAGTCTTCAATTATATCTTAATAAATT